ATGGATGGTCTGGATCTTCAAAACCTTTAGGTTGAGCCACATAGATATCTTCGTGCAGATAGCCATTCAGGAATGTTGTCTTAACATCCATCTGAAACAGTGTGAATCCCATAATACATGCGACAGCCAACAGAATCCTGATTGATTCGAGTCTAGCTACAGGAGCAAATGTCTCATCATAGTCAATCCCTTCAATCTGAGTGTACCCTTGAGCCACTAACCGAGCTTTGTTCCTTGCTATATTTCCAGCTTCATCAGTTTTATTTTTAAAGATCCATTTTGTTCCAATTATGTTAACACCATCAGGTCTTGAAACTAAATCCCAGACATGATTTCGCTCAAACTGATGCAGATCATCCTGTAAAGCTTCTTTAACATTCCTGGGTTCTATCTTTGAGGTATAGCAAGCAGACCCAGATATTTCTGTCAGATTATTTCTTATTCTGCTCCTGGTCTTCATCCCATCTGTTGGATCTCCAATGATGTTGTCTGACGGATGATTTTTCTGAGTTCTGGTGGGTTTGTCTTTACCTGTATCATTTATGAGATTTGTCTCCTGTTCTGAACTTTCTTGATCTTCATCTGAGGATTCTTGTGATTTGGGCTGACTGTTGCTATCAGTGGTATTTGATTCACTGAGAGGAAGCTTTGTCACTGAATCTGTCACTGCTGTGTCTACTGATTCTTCTGGACTATCATCTATAACCACATTTACTGATTCCATCACAGATTGAGTTCTCTTGTTGTAGACTCTGTAGGCACGACTGTTTGGAGAGTATCCAAGGAAGATGCTCTCATCACTCTTAGGTTCAAACTTCCCTCTTTGTTCTCTATCAGCCAGCACATAACACTTTGTCCCGAACACATGAAAATACTTCAGGTTTGGCTTCTTTCCCTTCCAGATCTCATATGGTATTTTGGTCGTTCCTGGTCTAAGATAGACCCTATTTACAGTATGACAGGCTGTGTGTACTGCTTCAACCCAGAAGCGCTGCGGCAGATGAGAGGCATGTAGCATAACTCTAGCAATTTCTTGTAAAGTTCGATTCTTTCTTTCCACTACACCATTCTGTTGAGTAGTTCTAGGAGCTGAGAACTCATGTGATATACCATGCTCGGAGCAGAAATCTGAGTATAGTGAATTCTCAAATTCTTTTCCATGATCACTTCTCAGTCTCTGAACTTTTATTATAGATTCATTCTTTTCCTTTTGAATCCTTATGCACAAAGTTTTAAAGGCCTTGAATGCTTCTAATTTTTCTCTTAGAAAGTATACCCAGCTGTATCGAGAGAAATCATCTACACACACAAATATGTATTATTTTTCCCCCAATGCTTTCAGTCTGTGTTGGCCACATGAGGTATATGTGAACAAGATCTAGACACTTCTCAGTGGTGATACCTCTTACTGCTTTGTGCGGAGTTCTGATTTGTTTCCCAATGGCACATGCACCACAAACTTTTTCCAGATCTATTCTGATCTTAGGTACACCTTTCACAGCTTCCAGTTTTATCAGTTTATCCATATCTCTGAAGTTTACGTGACCCAGTCGTCTATGCCAGAGTTTTGATTCATCAGATTTGAATAGGTGACATGCAGTTTCATTTGCCAAAACATAACAATTGTCTGAGGACCGGGTTCCTTCCATGACAAGTTGATTTGCTTTGTCACTAACTCTGCAACAGTTACGATCGAAGCACACATTCCAATTTTGATCACACAACTGACTGATGCTAATCAGATTAGCTTTCAACCCACTAACTAACAGAACTTCTTCTAATTGAGGCAAACCTGGTACATTCAGGGTACCTTTCCCAACTATTTTCCCTTTTTGTCCATCTCCATATGTTACAGCTCCACTGCTTGGTTGAACAGCCATCAGTCACTTTACATTTCCAGTTATATGTCTGGAACAACCACTGTCGAAATACCATCTAGCTTCAGTTGACGCAGTCAGAACTATAGTGGGGTAGCAAATAACGTCTGACTTTCTGACCCAAACCTGTCTAGTAAACAGTGTAATAGTCTTGTTCTGATATTTCTCCTTCCTTTGATCTCTGTAGAAAAAATAACATTCAGGCCGAGTATGACCTTTTGTTTGACAGTAGTGACAAATGGGAGTGTAATGTCTAACTTTGACAAGCTTATTCTTGAACCTTGAATAATGAGATTGATGAGTTACTTTGGCAAGGTCAGTATCTGCAGTCTGGTCATATCTCCTTCTCTTGTCAATTTTTTGCACTGACCGAGATGACTGTCCTTGTTCAAAGCTGTGAACTGCTGTGGTCTTAAACATACCCTCTTTGACAAACATAGGTGCATTATTCAAAGATTCATCTCGTTCAAATCCTAGACCTTTTTTATCATTAGGATTTCTGCCAAAGTCTAGAATCTTGTCTAAGGTTGATGTGGTGTCCATCATCTGGATATTTTTCTTCAGACCCTCCAATTCCTTTATCAGTTTTCCTTCTCTGGTTCTTATCTGAGTGATGAGATCTTCTTTTATGACAAGGTCTGTATTCAGTTTTCTTAGAAGATCATCCCTTTGCTTCAGCTCGTCATTCAGATTTTTATTGACTTTCACTAGTTGTTCCCAGCTTGCAACAAGTTTAGCAAATTCTATTTCAAGTTGAGTATGTCTCTCTTCAAAATCATCAGTTGATATGTAAGATTCTTTATCTGATTGGTTTCCGTCTGACTGAATGTCTGTAGCTGTAAAGAAGGCTACAAAGTTTCCCACATTATCATCTGACTGATAATTGGATGTTTCATCCTCATCATCGCTTAATGTAGCTACTGACATAGCCTTTTTTCTCTTGAGATACGTTGCACATTCAGCCTGTATGTGACCATACCCTTCACATTCTCTACACTGCACTAACCGGTTGAGGGACTTCCCTGTGTCTGTGGAATTGTTTCTGTTCTGTCTTGTTCGACCAGTCTGAGATTGATTGTTCTGTGAAAAGGGAGTTGTTTCGGCTTTCTGATATGAGGAGTTGTTACCTTTGTATTGTGTCCTGGTGGACTGACCTTGACTCTTTCTGTTGAAATCTTTTAATATTTTCTTGAAATTCTTGGTTAGAAGAGCCAAGGTTTCATCATCTATGTCGTCTGTGTCAGATTCTCGATCAGCCTCAGCCACAAAAGCCACTGACTTTCCTTTTCTGTTGCTTGCAAGATCGTCATCCACAAGCACTTCTAGTTCATATGTGTGTTAAGTTCTCCGACAGTCTTCTTTTCCCAACCTGTGTGTTCCTGAATAGCAGTTACTTTCATCCGGAAGCATTTAGGCAAAGATCGAAGGATCTTTTTGACTACTCTCTCATCAGTGAAAGGTTCACCAAGAATTGAGGCTCTATTCATCAGATTCGGAACCCGACTTTGAAAGGTCGAAATGGTTTCCTCTTCATTCATTCTAAGGGCTTCGAATTCTGATAGTACCATTTGTAGCTTTGACTGCTTGACATCACTAGTTCCCTCAAATCTGGTTTCAAGAATTTCCCATACACGTTTAGCTTCTTTTACCCCGGTGACAAGAGTAAAAACAGATTCATGCAGAGATCCTACAATCGAGTTCGAAGTTTTGTTGTTTAGATCAATTGGATTAATCAACTGACTAAATGGACTGACTGATTCAGCGATGAATTCAATCAGTAATAACTAATCACAGTGAAGATTAAAGAAAAGATAACACCACAAAGCCAACAACACAGAATGTTTACCCAGTTTGATACAATGTGTATCTACGTCTAGGGGACGATCACATAGGCGTCCAATCCACTAAATCATAATCCGATGTACAAAGGTAGATATACAATAATCTTACCCAAGTGCCCCACACAAGGTACATACCCAGTCTACACAGGTTTAGTGGATTGTTGAAGATGGAGAGCTATGCATACAGAAGTCAAATGAAATCCCTTCACTTGGAGAACCCACTCTGATGCAGTCCACTTCAATGACGCTCTTTACAGTTGTTGCCACAACAGTGTGATCACAGTGTCCTTTCGTTTAAGCAGTAGTGATTCTTCTCAAGTTCGTCATCTTAATCACCATGAACATGTTGTATTGAGAAGAGGCATGATTATCAAAGATCTGATCTCATCAAACTGATGTGAAGTGTTTTCTACTTTCTCAAAGGCGTAACCCTCATTCTCTTCGAATGAGGATACTTATAGTTCCGTCAAAAGAACACTCCTTCCATAGATGTCTTTGATTGTAGATGGTAGGACAATATTTGAAGAATGTAATCTTAAGGATTCAGTCCATAACTTTCCAAAGCAGATACGCTGATCTTCTTTCCAAATCTGACTTCTGTAAAACCGCGTACAGCATTTAGGAAAATAGCTTCCTACAACAGATCTTCAGTGTCAGTCCTTCTGTTGTTGAATCTGATTAATCAGTCCTTTGAGAAACAAAACAGACACTGAACTAATCCTATCTTAGTATGCCATAATAATATTGCCAATTATAAGTTGGGGTTTTTGAATAATTAAAACACTAACAGTTTGTTTTGTTCGGTTTGGAACGTTCCTAATAGCTCATTCCGAATCGTCGAGCTTGACTCATTTCGAATCGTCGAGTCTTTTGAATTATTTGTTGGAACGTTCCAACCGGCTCATTCTGAATCGTCGAGCCTGACTCATTCCGAATCGTCGAGTCATTCTAAACCATTATGCAGATAATGGCCTTTGCCACGGGTTATAATAGTGGCTTTAGGCTGTCAATGAGTCATATGTTAAGGAATGATTTGTGCTTTTGAAAGTATTGTATTATGAAATAATGGTGGCGCCCATGTAGCTAAAGTTTCCAGTTTTGTGAACTTGTGTATAGTATGATGGAAGTATATTATGACTTCGATATAGTTTAAAGATCGAGTTTTACATCTATTTATTACTCTAAAGCATTTTATATTCTATTGAGGTTACTTGATCTGGGGTTGAGAGGAGTACTACTTACTGGGCATTAGCTCATTATTTGTATCTTTCTCATGTTTCAGAATAGCTAAGGACATGTGAATAGCACGAACACAAGTGGTGGGGTCTCGAAGGTGACTTTTGAAACTAGGAGACTTAGTCCTAATTTTGGAGTGTATCACGGATTTTTGTTTATTTTGGATATTCCTTTGACCCTTTGTATCTTTGGTAACACATTGTGCTTGGTTTGGTGCTTGTGATACATTTTGGACATACTACTCTTGATTGTAAATATTTAATAGTGGTGATTTTGATGAGTTTTTGGGAAGAACTAGTTGTTTATATTTTGTCATATTGGGTCGAGGAATTATTATGTATTCAAGTGTTGTTATAAAGGTTTCGAGAGGTATGTATGGATAGGTTTCGTATTGTTACAGGTTTTCATGTAGCGATACGGCCGGGTCATGTCCTAGAAGTGGGGTGTGACAATACTAATTTTTGTTTTCTTGAAATTCTTCATTGATAAGATAGCTTCACCTTAGCGGTCAGTCCCTCACACCAATTTGCATGATCAACATAATAACCTCAGACATAAACATGTTGGGGAAAATAGCAACGTCAACACACGATCTGGAAGCCTTTTAAGAAGCACGGACACTACGGATGTATGGTAGAAAGAAAATCTGTGCCGTGTTATAATAACACTACCCGACGAAAATTTTAATGACGCTCTAAAAAACGTCGCTAAATATAACAATTTGGGACGTTATATTAAATAACGTCACTATATATTTTGGTAGAGACAATAATTTTTTTTGATAATATTTACTGACGAAATATAATATTTTTGTCAGTAAAGATATAGAATTAATGACGTTTTATAATAATCGTCTTTAAATGTCTTATTTTAAAAATCATAACATCAGGAAAAGTGAAAATAATTTTGCGGGAAAGCTATTATCAATTGGCGCCATTAAAACACTCTCTTCAGCATTAAAAAAAAAATTGTCTAAATTATTTCTCTGAGTACAATATGTCAATATCATAGTGTAGCTGTACTTCACTTCTCACTACAAAATAGAGCAGAGTATTCTGGTCTCATCTTCAACGAGCAGAAATTCGGCAGCACCTTCATCGGCACCGCTTCGTGACACCACCGTCGTTTCCACCACAACAGGGTCATCGTCTGCACCTTCGTCGGCACTCTGTGTCTCTGGTTTTCTCCTCATCTCACTACACTACAATAGATTTTTCTGTACTTCTAATCTTACTATTTAATCATATATAATACCTAACCTTTATCTCTGCAAAACCCAGTGGAAGTCTTCCAAAAGATCGGACCCAAAAGCTTACAAGAGAAGATTCATCATGTTTAGGTAAATTCAAACCCTAATAAACTAATCTCCACCAAAACATTCATGTATAAACTCTATTTTTGGTATTATTTGGATGATTTTGGTGCTCATTAGTTAGAATAGGATAGCTAATTTCTCTGTAATTTTGTTTTTTTTTTTTGTTTTTTTGTTTTTTTTTTTTATAACTTGGGTGTGATTTGTTTTTTGTTATATATATATTTACATTTATTATGAATTATTCATACCTAGGTGAGGGGTTAGTAATAAACATATTAATCTAGGGTATTGATGAATCTTGTAGTTTTGGCTACATGATGTAGCAGATTTGGGGGTGGAATTTGTGTTTTTGCAGGTGGTTTTGAGGTAAGGTTAGATGTTGTTTTTATGTGAGTTTAGGGAATGATGTTGCAAGGATTAACTGCTGCAATTTTGGGGTGGCTGTAGGATACAACTAGTTGCATCTGCTGCAATCTCTGCAAATATGTAGCCAACTTGAATGTGGATTGGTTGTTGGTTTTGATTGGTGATGGATATTGAGGTGTTTTGTTTGGGGTTGATGTTGGGTTTTGATGATATATGGTTTCAGCTTATTAAGCTAAGGGGGAATGAGGCCGGCCTCTAAGAAGGCTTAGGAAGCAAAATTTAATTTGCTGCTGTTTGCTACCCTTTCTGGAGGTTCTCGAGGAGGTAGCTAGTTTTTGTTGTGATATATTTGGGTGTTGGTTTTGGAATATTTTGTAAATGACTTGAGGTGTAGTTGTAATAATAACATTTGCAACAAAAATAACAATAGGTTAATGTTGTTTAATAATAATAACAAGATAGATGAGAGGGGAATGTTGCAGTGCTACTACTACTGATTGTACCTGTCATAAAGAAGTTGTAGAAAAATCATAAAGATTTGGAGGGGTGTGGGGGGTATGGCTGATTCACTCAAAATTTTGGAGGTTATTGAGAAGTTGGATTCTTATTTCCTGATGGAAGATTTTGATGATATACTAATAAAGAAATACTTAGCACTTTACAGGAATAATGGCACACTTATTTGAGTAATTGAAGTAAGAAAGAATATTTAAATATGATTATTATAAGACACAATTAAGTCAGACAGATTAGAGCTTCTCCCAGATGAATTATAATTAAACAATTCACAAGCTATCTTAAAACTTAAAAGCATACACTGATACACATGCCCACATAGGGTAGTTAGTTACTCTTCTAATTTATAATTACAGAGCCTTGTGATTACAATGAGTTCATTATGTTATTCTCATATTTCATCTCCTACTTAATACTTATCAACTATCATATCAGATTATATTGTTGAGGTGAATATTCCAAACCTAGCTAGGTCACTCTAATAGTCCATATAGATTGGTCCAAGATAGTGAATTCCAAAAGTTAAATATCATTTGGAGTCTAATGAGTAATTTCTCTATTTTACCCCTAACCTTCATCAATTTCTTTGGTTCTCTGTATGTATTATGATTCTGATGGGATTTGAATTTAATGAATGAATAAAAATACTCCTCCTTCCTCTAAATAAAAAATACTCTTCCTTTACTTTGACAGTACATGGTAATAAAGCTTTTTCTTTCCTTTTGTGCATTTCTTTTTAGTTTTGACAATGACGTTGTGTCATTATATGTACCACCTTAACATGCTTGTTTGTCAGAGTTTATGTTAATCACATCCACCATGATATATATCCAATAAAATTTAAGAGGTATTAAGAACAGATCTTAGAAGAAAAAAAAATGTAGTTGCCTGCTTTGTGGTGATTTTTTAATTTTCTTTGTATTTTTTTTTTAATGATGTGAAGATATTAAGGGAAACTGTCAAAGATTGATGTTTGTTTAGTAGCAGAAGCACCCTAGTTTTTTGACAACAGCTATGGAGATGATGCTATAGTCAGCTATACCTTGTGTTCCAGAGTTGGAGAAACTCCATTGATACTAAGATAGACTTCATTTCTAAGCATATTTTAAAACATTTGAACTTTCTCTAGCCTAGCTTCATTTAGCTTGCATTCCTGCCAATTGTCATTATCTGTATGAATGGTAAGTGAAGTCTTCCTATTTTGGCTATTAACCTAAAAAAAAAATTAAAAAAAAATCAAGAAAATGGCTAAAAAGATTAATGATTTATGTGGTATACTTCTAGGCTAAGTCTAAATAATTTTCCTATACAATGTGTGTTTCATGGTTCTTGAGCATACAGTATGACAATACATGAATTGATTTTAGTTGCTTGTTGTAATGGATCATTGCTTAGCATGAGATGCAAATTTATATCATTGATTTCTTATTGCCTTTCTTGAGATTTAATAACTATGAAATCTCTAAAAATATTTTTACACTGCAAAACAATATTTAATCCATTATTTACTAATCTTAATTTTTCAGATTAAGCAACACTTTTTAGCTCTACTATAGTATTCCAACAAGAATCCAGTAAAGCACCTCCCTTCAAGTAAGTAGTAATTTTAAAACAATATTTAGTTCTATAATCTGTTCATTCTAATTTTTCAATGCAAATTGTGTATGTATATATATATATATATCTCTTAAAATATTGAATCGATGTATGTAATGATTTTTTCATATAAAAAATTAGTTTACATTATAAATAACGACTTATATGTTGTAATAGGTACTGTGTTTAATATGGATAAAGCATGGATGACACAGAATAAAAGGTCTAATGAATATATAGAACGACTTAAGAACTTTATGTTATTTGTGGGAAATCTCACTTGGGACATGATTGTGAGATTAGGTGCCCATGTAAAAAATGTCTAAACACAACATCCTTAAATCAAAGCGTGGTTTATATGCATTTGCGCCAAAATGGAATAGACACGGATTACACACGTTGGATATTCCATGGAGAGCCACCGATTTTTCAAGAACCAAGTAATAATGGTTCTCAGGTTGAGTATGATGATTCTGATGATGAAAACTTAGATGGAGTCTATGAGTTCTTAAATGAATACGGAAATTTTGTAAACTCCACCTCACAGTTAAATCCCAATACTCACAGTGGTGAAGTTGATAATTTTGAGAACATATTGAGAGAAGCAAAGCAAGAATTATATCCCGGCTGCACTAAATTCTCAAAATTATCATTAACTGTGAAGTTGCTTCATTTGAAGGTGTATAATAAATGGAGCAATAAATCATTTGACATGCTGCTTGAATTGCTAAAAGAATGCTTACCTAATGGCAATACACTTCCACATTCTCACTATGAGTCTAAGGCTATGCTTCGTAACTTGGGATTAGGATACACAAATATTCATGCATGCAAATATGATTGTGTGCTATTTTGGAAGGAATTAGAGACAGCCGATTGTTGTCCTATATGTGGTACTTCTAGATGGAAAGTCAAGGATGGTAAAGGAAAAAATATTCCTCATAAGATACTAAGATACTTTCCTCTAAAACCTAGGCTTCAAAGATTGTTTATGTCAAAAAAAATTGCAAATGATATGAGGTGGCATAAGGAAAAACGAATTGACGATGGTGAGTACTTACGTCATCCGGCTGATTCTAAGGCTTGGAAAGATTTTGATAATGAGTTTCCATGGTTTGCTAATGATGCAAGAAATGTTAGGCTTGGCTTAGCTTCTGACGGATTCAACCCATTTGGAAATATGAGTAATGCTTATAGCATGTGGCCAGTGATATTAATTCCATATAATTTACCACCATGGATGTGCATGAAAGACTCATTTTTTATGTTAACACTACTTATAC